TGTGAAGTTACTTTCAGTTACATTTATTTATTACACAGCCCCCTTTTTGCTCACACCTCCCATGACATAGGTGATATACTTTGCTTCATTCATTGTTTCTCCAAGCAAAGACCATCTGCATCATAATCCCATTAAAAAGTTAGTTTTATTCCTTTAATTTAAAATGTATTTGTCATCATCATAATCATCACCATGCAGATGACTATGCTCCAAACCTACTGAATCAGTCTATGCACCTTGACCCGAATCTGCTTTTAAAAATTCTCCTAGGTTACTAGTCATGTTATGTTTCTTGATCAGATGCAGGTTACACAGGGTGTTTGTGCAAAATTCAATGAGCTCTACCCTTAGTATATGTATACATTTCTGTATATATATCATTATTATTTTTAAAATGTCTTTATTGATTTCAGAGAGAGAAAGGGAGAGGGAGAGAGAGAAACAGATATCAATAATGAGAGAATCATTGATCGGCTGCCTCCTGCACGCGCCCCACCGGGTATTGAGCCTTCAACCCAGGTATGTGCCCTGACCTGGCATAGAACCTTGATCCCCTGGATCATAGGTCGATGCTCAACCATTTAGCCACGCCGGCCGGGCTGTATGTATATTATTTTCACCAAAAAGTTAATCAGGAAAAATTCCCTGGTTTATTCTTATGAACACTGATGCTGGAGAACCCTTGAGTTACCTCTCTCCCAAAGAATTGTAAGGCCCTACAGGGCAGTGGAGGCATCTGTTTTAGAGTAACATAGTGCACACTTAATAAGTAATTGGCAAATAAATGAATGAATGAACAAAGGGAAAGAAGTAGCTTGTGAGTTTCTTCCTCCCTCACTCTCTTCCAGACATTTTTTGTTTCATGTCCCTCCTGGAACACATGATAGCTCAGGCCTCAAAGTTACACCTCAGACACACTCCCCCTGAATAAACCTGTGAGATGCCACCTGGCTTCCTCCCTGCCACATGTTGGGTGTAACTGATCCAGAGCACCAGCCTGACAAGGGCTGGAGAAAGGAAGCGGGTGAGGAACGTTCTGTCCCCAGTACCAGTACTTGTGCCCTGCCTGGGTGTGAGCCACCTGGCTCTCAGGCCTTCCTCACCATGCCTGGGAATCAAGCTGGGGAGATTCTGTCCTTGGAGATTCTGCATTGCTAAAGCTCCTATTTGCATCTCTGATGTAAACCGCTACCTAAATTACTCAGTTTAAATTATGCAGGAATTTGAAAAACTATATATTTGAATATTTAAGTATCGATGAAATTTTTTTTTCCTCTTAGCAATTGTACAGTAGAGTAGAAAGTGAGAGACACCCTGGGTGAAATATCACCAGTCATTTATTCAGTCACAAATAATTACCAAGAGCTTCGTAGAGATACAGTGATGAACAAGACATATTTTCCTTAATGGAGATTTCAGAGTAGTGTGTGTGGGGGGGGTATGGACAATCAAAGAATAATATCTAACTTTTTCATAGTACTTACGATGTACTGGGCACTTTACAGATATATTCATTTCATCATATATTCATTTCATCATTGTAACAACTCAATAACATTCTTTTTTTTTTTTTTAATCCCCACCCTAAGATATTTTTCTCCACTACTTTTCAGAGAGTGGGAGAGACAAAGAGAGAAACACCGATGTGAGAGACACACATCGATTGGTTGCCTCCTGCACGTGATCCAACCCAGGCTGGGAATCAAGCTTGCAATAGAGGTGCATGCCCTTGGCTGGAATCGAACCCTGGACCCTTCAGTCGGCGGGCTGACCCTCTAACCACTGAGCCAAACTGGCCAGGGCAGTAATGTTCTATTATTATTCCCATCGTAGAGTTAATGTGGAATCTAGTCCTAAGGATCAGGAAGGTTTCTCTAAATATAAGAGACTGAAGTGGAGATCTGAAGATTGAGTTGGAATCCAGTACACAAAGAGGTCTAGGGGAAGATAATTTCAGGCAATGGAAACAGCAGATGCAGAGATAACCACCTGAGGAACTGACAGGCTGCTTTGTGGAGGGAGCTCAGGTCGCCCATGACGATGCAGAAAAGGTAGGCAAAGGGTCAGATCACTAGGTTGTTTTCTGTCTTCAAATACGATAAGGTCAGGGAAGCAGAGGTAATTAGAAAATTTAGGGTTTAGCCCTAGCTTTGCTCGTAATAACCTCAGCCATCTCTCTGTGGCTTAGTTTCCTTACCTGAAAAAAATGAGTAGATGGACCAGAGCTCTCAAGTGAGCACTGGTTCTGTGGTGGGCAGCTGGAGAGGCATGAGCAGAGCAGGGGCAATGAGCCAGGTATAGAAGGTTACCAAGATGCAAAGTGCCAAGTGCCTAGCCAGGTGCCTACATCTCTGATTCTGGGTGGGGCTCTGCTGAAGGTGTTGCCAATCTGAGCCGTAGGCCCTGGCTGCTGCTAAACGCACGGAGGCCTCTGACTCCTCCACAGATTACGTACAAATGGTGGAGACCATCACCCACAATAAATTCACACGATAATTCTGGCTGGGAGCATGGTTTGCTCCCCTTGTTTGAAATGAAGGTGAACTAATAACAATGTAATAAGAATAATGACCTCTTGCCCTAGCCAGTTTTGCTCAGTGGTTAGAGCCTCAGTAGACTGAAGGGTCCTGGGTTCTGTTCCTGCCAACAACACATACCTGGGTTGCAGGCTCGATCCCTTACCCTGGTCAGGGTGCATGCCGGAGGCAACCAATTGATGTGAGATCTCTCTCTCTCTCTCCCTTCCACTATCTCTGAAAAGCAATAGAAAAAATATCCTCGGGGGAAGAATTAAAACAAATAAATACAAATAAGAAGAATGACCTCTTTTGAGCATTTACTGTGTGAGATTGATTGTACCTGGTACTTTCAGGTACATTCAAAACCTGAGGCCTCAGGGATTACACAATTTTGGGAAGGTCCTCACCACCCAAATTCGTCCTGCCTACTGGGCATGCCCAGTCCTGTTTCAGACGGCCACGTGTCTTAACTTTAGCAATGATTTTCTTGGGTTTCCTTAGTTTGCTAAGTCGAAATTTGAACCCAGTTTGACTCCAAAGTTTATGGTGTTGACCACCACTTGATGGTGATGCTCCCCTACCTTCTTAAAACACAGGCACCTCCTTAACTGCACAAATAGCGTGGCATTGTCTCTTGAAGTCCTTTCTGGGTGAGGAAGGTGCTTTTTATAGCTGGGGCTGCTTCTGTTTACTTGGTCTCTTCCAGCCCTGGCTAATCCTGCCTACAGCTGTGTCCTTCACCGTCCTTACACTGTATTCCTAGGTTTCCTCCCTGCAAAAGACAACTCCGCGAGGCCACATGGTGCTCGCGTCCGTGCCAGCAAAGAAATGTCACTCCTCTCCCTCTCCACATCAGCCTACCTTTCTAAAAATAATCGTCGTCCTCCCTCCCCCCTCAGGCCTGCGAGTAGTTTGGTCTCCTAACTAAACGCGAGCAGCTCACAAAGGTTTCGGGGAGGAGGGAACGACGTGAATGACCTTGCAAAGGTATCTTGCCCACCGGGGACAGGATCGGCAAACCTAAAGCCTCTACCCATATTTAAGCGTCTTCGCGGCGGGTGCGCTGCTCCGGAAGCCGCTCGCTGCCCCGCGCCCGCCTCGCGGGGTCTCCGCTCGGCTCGCTCCGCCACACAAAGCCCAACCTGCCCCTCTCGTCTGCAAACCCGGAGAACTTCAGTCCCCATGTTGAAAGTCGTCGGTGGCGGCGGCGGGCAGGACTGGGCATGCTCAGTAGCGGGGACAGGTCAGGGGAGCGAAGAAGCCGCATTTGAAGTCGCAGGGACCGAGGATCCGGAGGAGGCGGGCTGCGGGGGCCCCG